ATATATATATATATATATATATATATTTATATTTATATATATCTATATAACATATAAAGTTTTTACGACAAATAGTAGGCATCTAATGCCGATTTAAATAAGAGAGCCCGATTTGAAAATGTAACACATACACATCGTTCGTGCAGCAAAAATGAATTTGTCCATTTCCTTACGAGTAATCTACGAACATATCGATCATCTGGTGCACTACACTTCGACTACCTTGAACTTTGACGTTTGAGGTATCTCTTTCGCACGAACTCTTTCGTGTTCATTATTTATTGAAATAACTGTCGCACTGAGGGATATGGTTATTCCCTTCGACTTGATTGCGTTATGTTAACAATATATGCCGAAACGCGCGATCTGAAACTATAACAATCGTGTAACAATCGTGTAACAATCGTGTAACAATGCAAAGGGGAAAGGGGGAGATTGTTCGACGCGCGACTGTTCAACGACACGCGAGGGAGACAATTGCAATTTCGGACGATTCACGGCTTGCGAGCTGTCGTTGTGGTTAAATAATCAAGTTATTGGACAATCGCGCGCAACGTGTCTTGCAAAAAAAAAAAATGCAAAGTGGAATCGACGAATTTTCGTTTTTCTGTTTTTCTATCGGATTTGTCGGATTTTTATCACTCGCTTTTCTATAGAATTGGAGTAGATTCTTACATGAAAGAGCTTGCAACACAGTTTATCTACCGCGAAGACTAGTACAACTTAATCTCCAATTTCCACAAGGACAAGAGACGCGACGCGTTGCTCGACGATTCTACACCTAACGATGTTATTAAAATTTAACGTAACATTAGCGCACAATGAAAGCTTAATCAGCCCGCGTTGCATCTCGTTGCTCTTAGAAATTCACACGTCTTTCTTACCGTTTAGATTAAATATTCAACTGGAAAATGGACTTTAGAAAAAAAATTATATAGCGTAGTTGTCATATATAAAAATAAATATGTAAAAAATGTCACGAGATCATCCGTATACGAAGCAGCTCGAGTTCCGGGATACGCGCGGTATTCGAGAATTACATTTTGCTTCTCAACCCCGCGAGTAGCGCGAGTCGCGTAGACTCGGAGGAAGTTGCGCGTCGTTGTAAAGACTCGTATCGTGATGATTATTAAGGCGGAACGCCTATCCTTGGAACTCGGCCGCCGATTCCGCTGATTTCCGATTTCAATCTTCTCGATCGGAAAGCGAGCGGGCCTACGCGACCGCTACCGCGACGGCCGCCGCTTCGCGTCCAACTCCGGGGAAGGTCGTGGCGAAATCGCGCCAGCAGATCGATCGGCGGGTTCGAGGACGCGGCTGTCCACCTCACGTAATCCATCGATCTCTCTGCGTGGATTTTACCCGGCACGATTACTTACCTGCGATAGAAAGCCGGCCACGTCGATGGCACTGTTGACGCGCGGCCTCGAGGTTCTTGGCCAGCCTAAAGCTCCGCCGCTGTCTAAGGAGTCCACGTGATGGCTCGACCAGTGCAGATGCTGGAAATTTCAGTCGTTTTCTGATCACGTTTATCGGCACGGAAGTGGGCAAAAAGCGCGATCGATAATTGCGATCGGTGATAATTGCGGTCGAGCGCGGCCTCTCGAGAAGCGTGACGTTTTAATGCACCTGGGATCTACGTGATAAGAAAAGTTGAGAGGCCGACGGGGGCGAGCGAATGAGGGTGCCGTGTCGTGAACAAAATTGCAGAGACGAGAGTGAACTGTAGGATGCGCCAGAAGTCCCGCGCGCGTTTCTCTTGCTCACGTAAATCTCTTTGAAAATTATCATTTTAGCTCGAATCAAATAGAAGAATATTTAGTCTTTGCTGCAACTTCTTTACGCTAATTAAATATTCTGAAATAAAATATTGATTTCTTCAATCCGCAAAGCGAAGATGTACTGGATTAAATTTCTCTTTGGAGGCAAAATTGATTCCATAAAATAGAAGAAGCTCATAGTCTGAAGCTTTAAAATATTCATCGTTATATTCCAAGAACGAGGAACAGATGTCTACATCAAAGAAGAAGCACTGGGTTAAATTTTTATTGAGCTAAATGATCGCTCGTTTTCAAATTCATTAAAATAGAATTTTAATTTAAAACCTATATCAAGTGCTTTTATATTCGACGTTAATATGCTTTTGTGAAGCAGGATCTTTATATATAAAGAAACGCGGTACTTCTGGAACAACCAACGCAACGGCGTGATGATTACATGAAAATGTATGAAAATGTCGCGCTTTTTATCCAGGGGAAAAAAAACGCGATTTACCGCGGCATAGTGACAAGAACAAATCTTCTCGTGATGTAGCACCTTCATCTCACTGCCCCTTTTTCTTATTTATATTCTATTTCTCTCGAACAACTGGGACAAGAGCACGTCTCTAGGTTTTGCAATCTACGTTATGCATAACATCACTATGTCGATCAACTTAGGGGAGGAATTTAGCTTTTGTAATTTAAGACGGGCACTAACGGCGTAAAAAACGCGCTTCTCACAAATTTTCACTGATAAATATTTGCATCATATCTCATATCGCGTTTGTGTCAAAGACTCAGTTTCTGTTCGGGCTAAGATGGAAATACTTACAAAGTTTATCGTATATTCGGAAACGCTAATAGTAAATGCTAATGAAATTTGCAGACGATTCGGGAATGAGCTCAGACGAAATAGCTATTCTCATAAAATCGATAAGAAAGATGTTAATCTTGCGTTGCATATGTCTGTAATATCAAACGGAATAATTACAAATTTAAGCAACATATTTTGACTGATAATCGTTGTCAAATTCTTAAAAAGTGTATAAAAATAAATCAAAGTATTTATTTATTAAATGATTAAAAATTAAATTTTTTATTGGCAAATTTGTTCCATTTGTTTTCTTTAAAATATTTCTCAATTGAAGCGATCTATAAAAAATTCTAAATAAAACAAGTGACATATTAAAAGTTAAATATTATGTTAGATGTTTTCTAATTAAAAATGTGTTGAAATTAAAAAATTATTTTTAGAAATTTTAGAAATTTAATTTATTACTATAATTTAATTTACTACTAATTAATAAAATACCTCGTGACCTCTGTCCTTTTCTCGCAACCAATTACATTAGTGATGCTGGCTATTTTTCATATCTCTTGTTCTCCGTCGGGAATACTTTGAAGCTCGCTTTCGTCTGAATTCTCGCATCGCCTATTTGACAGCGTAAATCGTATCGCGGAAGCAACAAAAAATTCTTTATACGAAAGAAATATACACGGCAGCTAGTATTTATCTCCAACGTATATTATTCGTTCTTTCACTCGACGCGAATTTTTCATGCGCGATACGACGCGCTGTTCCGGCTCTACTTAAAAGCATTTCAAGGGTAGGCTAAAGCATTTTCGTGACTCGTTTAATCGTGATGAGAAAGCGTTGATCATTGCACTGTGCGAGGCATTATCTTAATGCTCGGTGTGATTTCTTCTTTTAGCCTGCCATTAGTGCGAAGAGGCGCAGTGCTCAAGCTGATCTAACGAGGCCAGTTCGTCCTCTGCAAACTGACTCATAGTTCAGTTTCAATAAGAATGCCACACTTATGCCAATCTCGAAAATAAGCGTAATGAGTGAAAACACGATGGAACAACACGTGATGAAACGAAAAAAATCATTTGCTCTCTGTGATAGAACGAGGAAACGAGTAAACGTAATAGAAGAAAACGATAACACAAAACGGCACGGAAACAATATCGTGAAGCTTTGGACGAAAAACGACGTCGGGAAAAAACAACATAGAATATAGCAGTGCCCTACCTCGTTGCACCAACAACAGCGTGACTTTTTCACGCGCAATGTCGCTAATACACGACTCAAGCGGCTGGCATTGTAAACTCCTGTGCATTAAAGCCTTCGGTATTGTGCTTTGAGCGGGGAGGGGGGGGGTGTGTGCCATATACGTTTAAAAGAGGCGGGGGGCTGAATTTTAAAGCGACTCGAAGCGATTGAGAGGCGGCGTGATCTGCTTTCAAACCAAGCTGCTGGAAGTGTCGTTGAACGAAAAGGGAATTTGTTGAAATAAATCGATCGGACGGTGTTCCAGAGCAAAACGGTGTCCTCTTCGTGCGATGAGCAAGATCTGCGCGCTCTTTTCCGGGGGAAGGGGGGAAGGTTCTAATTTCTAACGCCTTAGATATCCATTAGTTTTGCACGCGATAAGTCGGTACATCATTATCATTCGGTCTCTACGTCGTAATAATATGGAGAAGGTGAACCGCCTGTCGCCTCAAAGAGGTACGATCCGAAGTATACTATATTCTTCAAAGTTGCATCTTCCTAAATTATTTACAGTCCATTGGGAAAATCGAAAGACTCCTGCGCTTTTGCGTGTTAGTTTAAGTGGAGAATCCGTAAACTATGCGGTATCAACTCGCAACTACTGTAAACGATATCAACTCTGTTGCACATATATTTTATGAAGTATCAGGAAGGATATTTACTCTCTTCTCTTAGATAGCTTCTCCAATTTATAATTTATTACTTTGCCATTTATTATTATAAAAATATGAGTAAAGTGATTTATAAATTAAGTCATTGCCGAAATGCACGAATAAAATAAAAGTGAACGTTCTACTTTATTGATATGGATTATAGTTACGTATAGCCATACTATATTTCTTTAGTAGTTGAGAGTTAAACTTTTCTTTGATCTTTATTGCGCAATAAACACGAAAAACGTTGAGGCGATCATCTATGCTTTAAAAATTAAGCTCGTCGGGGTGAAAGCCGCTTTTAATATACGCCCCAGGAAGTATTCACCGTTAACGTATTTATCGACCGTTTTAGCTTACCGCTTATTTTTATTTCCTCTCTGTTCTGGCGAATTTAAAAAAGCGAATTGCACGGAGATTGATGCGTGAAATAGGACGCGTTAAGAATTAAAGAAGTTGGAAGCATCAATAGAACACGAATCTAAATCCATGATCGCATCCGCGCGGAGAAGAGTTTCCATTTTCACAGCCAGAATATATGCGATCGTAAAAAAATTTCCATCCTGCGTCGCCATCCTATATTATACTGAAAACAGACGTGGTTCATTCCTCTTTTTACGACGCGAATAGTTGCGGAATATTTTATCGCTCGTTTATGAGTCGTTATCGATGCGCTCACAATATGTCTGACGAGTTATTTTGTTTTTTATTCTAGACAAATTTTTCTAATTGACAATTAACTTAAAAATTAAAATTAATTTGCTTAAAAAAAAAAAAGATCTGCCAATTATGATTTTATACGTTAAAATTAGAAAGAGACACATTTTCGCGATTTGCGCGATGAAGATGTAAACTAAATTTACATCACTATTTTCGTATTGCAAAGCGAGATAATTTATTTCTTTTGTCTCGCATCTCGAACTTCTTTGATCAACAATCATTTAACTTTGAAAATTATACACAAATATATAATTAAATGTAATTATAGAATAAAACAAATGTTTTAATTAATAGGTATTCCTGAGTACCGTGTTCAATAAGAAAATCATGTATGGTGTGTGAGGTTACATTGATTCCTCAAGAGTTTGAGAGAACAATATTAAAATCTCTCTCTCTCTCTCTCTGTTAATAATATTTACTGTTTCCGTTTCAACGTGATGCTCTCGTATTGCAAATATGACCTGAAAGCTTCCATTTACCTCTTCATATTCCGAAGTACGATGTTACAGACATGCTGCTGTACGATACCAGGCGCCATATATGCTTTAACGTTAATTAAATGTATTCTATAGAGGCACTTCCAACAAACACACCGTGTCTGAATAATAGACGTATCATGATTATTCATAGCGAGGAAATAGACAACGCCGAGAGTTGATTGACAGCCAGCATTTGATATATCGCGTCATACATCGAGTTTAAAAGTTAACGAAGGTATTCAGCCGTCGCGTTAAAGATTAATCTTGAAGCTTTAAGCATTTCTGCGAGCCGGTTTGAAATATACATTTGGTACGCAACAGGCGGTCAACGTAAACCAACTCGCTAATTGCGGCGCTTGATCCTTTAATAATAAGTCGGTTTTGCATCGGTGTCGGTCTGTTTCGCTTCAAACCGCGATATCCTGACCGAAAATACGCGATCTGTTCATGTAACGCTTAATATTATTTCGGTAATGGAAGCACCCGGGCCATCCGCTCGTGTTATCATCCACGGTATCGAAATACCTTGCAAAAATATTTTGAAAACAAAACTGTACTTCTCGTGTATCTAAACACACGCTGATATTTCATACTAACTGGCGTTTTCTTCGATGATCAATGATAGTCCATATTAAACTCTAAGTCTGACGTGTGAATATAAAAAAAATTTATTATCGAATGTCGAGATGTTTATGATTACCTAGTTATAAAATTAAAATTTACAAAACTTGATTATAAAACTATTACATTGAATTGTTTATAAAATTAAAAGCTAGAAGCGCCAAAAGAGAGCGTTAAAAAAAGCACATTTGCTTGTTTACATGTAAGAGTAAA